AAAAAAAAAAAAAAAAAAAAAAAAAAAAAAAAAAAAAAAAACCTAACCTAACCTATGACCATGTTTAATAAAAAACATTAACAGTGTATAATAAATCATAACATTTTATATTTATTTAAATAAAATAAAAACCTTTTACAATTCAATTCATGAGTGTTAATTCAATTTATTTTTATTTTTTTTTCATATATTTTTCTTTTAATGCAATAAAATAATATACATTAATCATCATCATCATCATCATCATGAAATTGAATTGCATAGATGATTGAAAGATTGAAAAAAACCATTAAACATCTACAAGTGATTAGTAACTGAGTAAATCATCAAAAAACATAAGCTTACCCATAATTCCAGTATAACAAAAGTTCAAAAAACAAAACCCATATTAACCTAACCATCCGTTGTATCAACCAACCATTGACCAATTACCAAAAACCATTTGCTTTTTCCAATTCAAGTTGTCTTGGTCTGTTTCTTATTATAACCAATACTATCCAGACGATCATCATCCAATTATCCACAATAACAAAAATTGTCATCTTCAAAATCTTCATCACACAAACACTTACTTTATAAATGTATCGAAACCCCCCTATTATCTTCAACCATCCATCACCCATCATCCTATCATCACTCACTCATCCAGATTATTACCAATTAGGTTCCCCTTCGTGGAACCTAATAGCTCGATGCTGTTGGGTTTTCCTACCCGGAAAACCCAACAGTTTTCCATTGACCAAACCTAACCTAACCTTGGTTAATAAATTATGACTTGTCGGTNATAATCCATCCAAATATTTACAAACCACAATAATGACAAGTTTGCTTGCTTGTTCCAAATCAATCATCCTATCATCACTCACTCGTCCAGATTATTACCAATTAGGTTCCCCTTCGGGGAACCTAATAGCTCGATGCTGTTGGGTTTTCCTACCCGGAAAACCCAACAGTTTTCCATTGACCAAACCTAACCTAACCTTGGTTAATAAATTATGACTTGTCGGTTCAATCCAATTCCCCCCATTAATTATCTCTCTAACTGAAATTGTCTCTATGGTGTTATGGTCATGATTATCCTTGTCTTGTTGTTGTTGATAAATCATCTTTCTATTATTCGCAATGTTCATCCACAAACCGGTATAAAAAAACACACACTCATCTTGTTCCATCATCTAGCATTTTCCCCCATTCGAATCATTCGCGAATCGATACTTCATCTACATATACATACAATCCGGAAAAAGAATAAACACGTGTTTATTTATCTTACTCCTCACTCACAAAAACTAACAAACAAATTTTCCAAAAAAACGCGTTTTATTTTTCAAGAAAAACATTTCATTTTATTTTACACAAAAGATTTATAAAAAAGTCGGAAATAATACAAAAATATTACAAAGATAAAACAAACAAATTACAATAATTAATCTTTTAAAAATATTGAAAAAGTTTAACAAAATCTTTGTTAAATTTCAATTGTTGTTTGAAAAAGCGTTACAAAATCTTTGTTCAATTTTAATGTTTTGAAAAAGATTTATAAAATCTTTGTTCAATTTCAATTGTTGTTTGAAAAAGATTTATAAAATCTTTATTCATTTTAAATGATAGAATAAAGTTTTATAAAATCTTTATTCAATTTCAATGATAGAATAAAGTTTTACAAAATCTTTGTTTAATTCAATTGTTGTTTGAAAAAGTTTTATAAAATCTTTATTTAATTTCAATTGTTGTTTGAAAAATCTTCACAAAATCTTTATTTAATTTCAATTGTTGTTTGAAAAAGTTTTATAAAATCCTTATTCAATTTTAATGATTTGAATAAAGTTTTATAATATCCTTATTCAATTTCAGTTGTTTGAAAAACCCTCACGAAATCTTTATTCAATTTCAGTTGTTTGAAAAAGTTGAAATAATCCATTATTGGATCTAATCGCGTTTGAATCTTTCGGTTAATTTATCAATTTTTTCATTATTATTTCTTTTCATTTGAATGATTCAAATAAATTTTTCAAATGAATTATTTCACACGAATAAATAATCCGTTTGTGGCAATAAATTGCTTCTGGCAATAAAATGCTTGTGGAAATAATTCGTTGGATTCAATAATCCGTTTGTTGCAATAAATTGTTTGTGGAAACAATCCGTTGGACAATAAATAATTTGTTAAAAAGTTTCCGCCAAAAATCTTCTTTTTGTATATCAGAATAATCTGACAACCAATAATTGTTCATAAAGATTGTTGAAAAGAGAAAGCAATCCAATTATTATCTTCATAAATTTCAGAAACTGTCTTTACCAAACTTTTCTCAATAAAAGTTTCTTCAATTTAAAATGATGTTAAAACACCAATGAAGAATGGGGTGCCAAAAAAAAAACCTAAGCCAGGCCATCATACCATTTCCTTGATAATTTCTTCTTCTATGTATATTTATATTTAAAAAATATTTATTAAATATAATATCACCACAATAAAAATCACATTCTAATCGATTTCGAAATCATGATGTGATCAAAGAGTCAATTCTGTTCTCTTCTTTCTACAATACAGAATCGAATTTTAATCTGTAATTAGATTGATTTTGTTAATAATATTATCTTCACGGAAAATATCTTGATGATGCAATAAAAAATTAAAAAATTCAGAATTCTGAATTTCAACAAAAAACACAAAAAGGAAAAATAAAATTACAACACTGTTGTAACCTATTTATATACGCAAAAAAACAATGCATAGGTATTTTTACTACAACGTTTGTTAAACGTTTCCACGATAATCATCCACAATATATATGATTCATCATCATCAATATATATGTAAAACAGCACGTTTTTTCCATTTCGAATTTCCTTTTTCCTTTTTCCTTTTTCTTCTTTACACACACGCACACACAGTATTTATTATATTAAAAAAAGTAACAAAAAACATAACCTAACCAATTCTTCCAATCATCCACCATCCATACAAAAAAAAACCTAATCTCATCTATATTAATCTCTGGTAGAATCCATGGTCACAGGAAAACAAAAAGTAAGCAATAAACTTATTACCTTTCTTTTCTTTTTTTCAATCAATAAAAACCAACCAGAAAACCATTCCTGTTTACAAAAAAACCTTTCCTAAAACCTTTTTTCCAAAATACCTAAACTTTACCTAACCTCTAACCTTATACCAATTTAAATACCAAACCAAACCAAACCATTCCTATTTAAAAAACCAAAAAAAAATTCCATTTTAAAAAAATCCCAGAATATTCAGTGCCATCTAATGGAAAAAATTTCAAATCACTGTTTTCTTTTTTTCTTCTAGTAACGACATCTAGTGAAAAAAAAACCTAACCTTACCTATTTCCCTACCACTATCAATCATTCATCATCATCTACCACCACCACCACACTTTCAATTAAATAATTTAAATTCTTTTTTTTTTGGTTCTTTGGTTCTCAGTCTCTGCATGCTACTGCTGGTTCTTGGTCTACGCAAGCTGCTAGTGGTGGTCCTTGGTCTTTGCAAGCTGCTGCTAGCTAATGTTGGTTCTTGGTCTCTGCAAGCTGCTAGTGGTTCGATTCTTAACCAGCAACAATTGTTCGTAAAGAAAAAAACCATTATTCCTAACCGATGATCATGATGATTACAATGTTCCGTTCCATTTTTTTTCCTAACCTACATATATTTTTCACTCGCTCACTAACATTTTGTCACTAACTCACTTTGTCTACAACGTAATATTATTTGTTTCAATATATTTAATGACCATTGTGTGTTTGTGCAATTTCATCATTCGATCTTCATTCCGATCATCATTCGATCTTTATTTCGATCATCAAAATCGAAAATCTTCTTAAATTTTTACAACAATCAACTTGATCATTATCTTTATATTTGTGATTGTTTGTTTTTTTTAATTTATTTTTTTCAACCACTTGTTGTTGTTGTTGTCAATCTCATCTACCACTTGTTGTTGTTTTTGTCAATCCCATCTACCACTTGTTGTTGTTGTTGTCAATCCCTTCTACAACTTGTCAATCCAATCAATCTTTAATTAACTAACCGCGGATTCTTTCTTTCATTCTCATTGTTATTATTGTCAAAAGTAAGTAACCTTCCATCCATCCATCCATCCATCCATCCATCCATCCATCCATCCATCCATCCAACTAATAACCTTTTTCTTTTCTTTTCTTTTCATCACCATGTCATCTTCACCAACAACACAACTAACCAGCTAACCTTGTCATCTTCACCACCACAAACACCATTCCAAATGGGCAAAAATAATAAAAGGAAAAACATCATTCGTGATGATGATGATCATAATCAACAAGCTGAACATCAAGATGATCATCAAGCTGATAATTCTTCTAAAAATACTAAAACACCGATAAAAAAGTCAAGAATTGAAAATATCATTGATATATCTTCTAATTCATCATCATCATCATCATCATCATCACCATCATCATCAAGATCAAAACCGTCGACATCTAAATCATCACCATCATCATCAAGATCAAAACCGTCGACATCTAAATCAAAACAGTCGACGTCTAAATCAAAACCGTCGACGTCTAAATCAAAACCGTCGACGTCTAAATCAATAGCATCATCATCCAGAAATACCAGATCCATTAGTGATTTCTTTACACCAAGTCAAAAACCGGATTCCATGATCACGACCGCAGCCGTCGCATCAGCAACTTCAAATATCGAACAAGAAAACAACAACAACAAGCAATCATCATCCAATGACGCGTTTGTCAAAATAATTATCCTTTTTTTAAAAAAAATTCTCAAATTCAAATCCCTTCGAAATAAAGATATTGAAAAATACACTAAGATTTCCAAAATATTAAATGATTTGAGTGGAAACATTACCAAAAAATTTAAAAAAGAAGCATTTAAAGCGATGGAAAAATTGATTAAAAATTCTACATTTTTAGTTGAAGTTAAAGAATTCATCAAAGAATTAATCGAAAATTTTGAAATTCTCAACATCAACAACCAAATAGTCAATCTTGTCGACGACGACGATGACGACTTAATTGAAGATGAAAATTTTGAAAATTTTAAAATGAAATTATCGGAAATTATGTCAACATTGACTAATCAATCAAATACGATTGTTGAGGTAATATTATTATTTTCAAATATAATCAAATATTTTTCTAACCCCTTTATCCCTTTGTTGATCAGGAAACACCTCGTGAACAAAAAATCGAACCATTCAATTTTACCGTCGCATCTTCATTAACAAAACCACCTAAATATGCTAGCGTTGTTTTTAAAAAACGCGCCAATGCCAATGCCAATGCCAATGCCAATCCCAATACAAATAATGAAAATAAAAATAATGATGGTGATGATAATGAAAATAAAAATAATGATGGTGATGATAATGATAATACAAATAATGATGGTGATGATAATGAAAATAATAATTATGATGGTGATGAAAATGATAATAATAATAATGATGGTGATGATACAAATAATGATGACGATGGAAAAAATATTAAAGAAATATTATCGGAAAGGCTATCTAAACCTGGCAGTCTTGGCATTTCCATTTCCAGCTTCCACCAACTTAGCCATGGAAAATTTTTAATTGGATTTGATGATCCAATGTCAAAAAATAGATTCGATTGTTTGGCCAAATCTATAGATGAAATAAAAGTGGAAAATCCGAGAAGAAAACGGCCAGTAATCATGTTACAAGGGCTTCCGGAAACCACCAACCTCGATACTTTGGCCAAAACAATCACGGAATTTAACATAAAAATTAAAGATTGTTTAAAAATAATTAAAAAAGAGAGCAACAATGACAACATCGACGACGACAACAACAACAACAATGACAACATCGACGACGACAACAACAACAACTACAACGACGACGACGACGACGACGACAACGACGAAGAATACTACGACATCAACTTGATAAAAAAATTTATCGAGGTTGTTTTTCAACGAAAAAACAAAAAAAAAAATTCAAAAAAAATCAACGTCGGACTAAAAGTCCACCCATTAATCAAAAGTTTGATTTTGGATGAAATGGGTGGCAAAATTAAATACAATTACGGCCAAATAAATGTTGTGGATGTTTGCCCTGTGCTACAATGTTACAAGTGCCAGGGATTCAAACACAAGGCCATTGATTGTAAACAACAACATCACACCTGTGCACATTGTGCAGGTGACCATTATCTGTCGGCATGTCCAAACCAGTCATTGCCGGCAAAATGTGTTAATTGTTTACGTTCAACAACATCGACGACGACAACAACAACATCAACATCAACATTAACACATCGAAGTAATAGTAAATTGTGTCCGATATTTAACCTAATTCTGTGTCGTACCTTATTCAAATTGGAAGTATAACCTGGTGGTCGTCGTTTTGGATTTCTTCATGGTCTTTGATTTTTTAATGGTCTCAAATTTTTTAATGGTCTCAAATTTTTTCATGGTCTCAAACTTTTTCATGGTCTCAAATTTTTTCATGGTCTTTGATTTTTTCATGGTCTCAAATTTTCCAAAAATTCCAATGCTAGTCTACCATATAACCACCTAGTATCATCAAATGCTAGTCTACAATATAACCACCTAGTATCATCAAATGCTAGTCTAATACTAACAAGTATTGATCATCGATCACCACCACCAATCAAACATATCATCTATATCTCTTCGTTTTTTTCAATTGTCTTATTATTATATTTTTTTTTAATATTTAATACTCATTTTTATACTCATTTAAATCTTGTGAATCTTGTATTTTTAATTTTTTTTTCAAAAAACAAACCAAATAAACAAAAAACATTACCAATCCAATTAATTCGTTAGGCTAAGGCCTTTTTTTGATCATAATTCATATAACATGCATGTTCAAAGACCTAGCCAAAATATTTAAATAGAATGTCCATTTTTTTAAAAAAACCTAACCTGCTACCATCTATTGGAAAAAACAAAAAAACACTACTTCAAATACATGTATCCTTTGTGATTGAATTTCCAGGAAAACAAAACAAAATCGAAAATCTTCATCAAGATTTCATCATCAAACACATTCATCATTAAACAATCAATATTGAATAGTGAATGACCTAACCGTATTAAAAATGGAAAATAATAAACGAATATCTTCGTCATCATCTTCGTCATCATCATCATCATCATTATTATTACCATCATCAACAACAAAAAAAACCAAAACACCACCAACAAATACAACAAAATCTTCATCATCATTATTCTTACCATCATCAACAATCAAAAAGACCAAAACACCACCAACACCAACAAAGACAACAAGATCAATAGAAATTATTAACCTTTCGGATGATGATGATGATGAAAAAAACATTTCTCATTATGACAATTTGATGTATGGTAGGAAAAAATTAAAAAAGATTCAAGCAGCAAAAAAAAAATCACCATCAACAACAACAACTGGATCATCACCATCAACAACAACAACTGGATCATCACCACCAACAACAACAACTGGATCATCAACATCAACAACAACAACTGGATCATCATCATCATCAACAACAACAACAACAACAAGATCCGATTATTTATCATCATCATCGACATCACCATCGTCAACCAAACTTACCACAACTATCGAAATATGTCCCCGTTCTCCTACACCACCAACACCACCACCTAACGAAAAACCACCAACCAATAAACCGTTTGTTAAATGTGGATTGGTAACCGCATTTGATGAACAATTTGTCCACCAAACATATGATAAATTGAAAAAATTAAGTGGAAACATAACAAAAAAAACAAAAGAAGAAATGATAGAATGTTTTGAAATAAATTTGAAATGCTTTAAATCAATTAAACAGCTTCAAAATTTACAAAAATATCATCATTATCAGGCCCAAATCAATAATGGAAAAGTGGAAATTGAAATAGAATATCCTTTCATTGATGGCCAAATTTTTACTAATGATAATAGACAACAACGACAACAACTGGATCATCAACAACTGGATCATCAACAACTGGATCATCAACAACTGGATCATCAACAACAACAACAACAACCATAACCACCACCAACATTCACATAGACACACCGAACATGAACCATGAACACAATAGTTTTTTTTTATCAAATCATTGATCATTGATCATTAACCTCTTGTATATTTCTTTTTGTTTGTTACTGTTGATCATACACTTCATACAATCATTGATCACCTGTATGTTTCTTTTTTATGATCATCCACAATCCTATCCCAAACATTGTTCTCATTAACCACCTGTATGTTTCTTTTTGTTACTTGTTGTTGTTTGTTTGTTCTGAAACACCACCATTCTTTTATTTTGTTGTCAACTCTTTTTTGTTATATTTTGGATAATCATTAAATAAAGATATTTGTTTTTAATCAATAATAATCATAATTAATAGTGTGTCTTTGTGTGTTCATCATCATCTTGATCTTGATCTTGATCTTGATCTTGATCTTGATCTTGATCTTGATCTTGATCCTCGTTCAAATTCTTTGCACTCATTCCTTGATCATTGGTGACATATGTTATATTATCCTAGTTAATTATTCTTTGAATTGATTAACCAATCATTCACCATCCATCCATCCATCCATCCATCCATCCATTTGCCATTTGCCATTTGCATATACACATTCATTCATTCAACCAATTCCAAATTCATTCAATATCGTTGTCCATCATACCATACCATGCCATTAATCTCAATCCACATTCCAATCTCATCATTCATTCCTTGATCATCATTGGAATCATCATACTGGTTCACTTGATTTTTTCTTTCCGAATTCTCATTACTTCAACAGCAAATTAACCACCAACACCAACACCACCAACACCAACACCAACACCACCAACACCAACACCACAAACACCAACACCACCACCAAAACAACAACCACCACCACCACCAACAAATTATGCTACCGCTGCCTTTTAATCACGCTCTATCCAAACAACCATTCATCTAACAACCATTACGACATTCATTCTACTTCTAACTATCTAGACACACACACCATTTTTTTGTGTTTAAAAAAAAACTATTTCATCATCGATAAGATCATGGAACAAAAACGTGGCTATCCCGATAATGATCCACCACCAACACCTACCAAAAAACTTAAACCTAATCCTCAACCATCACCATCAGTCGAACAACATCGTCAATTGACTATGGCAAATCTGGAATATTTCTTGAAAATATTGGTTGACATTATTCCACCACCAAATATCGATTCTATTCCAGAAGAATCAACTCGGACGACAAACTTTACACGCCAAGATCCGTTTATCGAAGTTTGTTTGAATGCATTGAAATCCATCTTGGATCATCATGCGAGGTTATTGCACACCGCCAATCGTGATTTACCAAATGGATTCGATCTTCAATTTACTCGACGTGAACAATCAATTCTAAGAATGCAACGTCAATTTGGCAATGATCCTTCCATCTACCAACGACTGAATATACATTATATGTATAGAGCAATCAACGATTGTTTTGATTCCATCAAAGCCATCTTAAAAGAATTAACTGAAATTGTCAGATTGATGAATCGTTTTTTAATATCAAATCCATCACAACAACAACAACCACAAGATCAACAACAACCTGATCGTCGTCAACCTAACCTAACTCAACAATCACCACCACCACCACCACCACCGGAACAACAAGCTGATCATCGACAATAATCATCAACAACAACCATTTTTATTAATAATGATCAAATATAAACCTTTTTTCTTTCATGTATAAAAATTTCTGTTTGTTTTTTCTTTGATTAATTGATTGATTGATTAATTCAATCATCATAACCATGAATATAATAATAAAGATTTTTTGAAATTTTGTCTTATTGTCTTTTTCAATCAATAATTTACCATTAAAAATTTACCATTAAAAATTTACCATTAAAAATTTACCATCAAAAATTTACGATTAAAAATTTACCATTAAAATTATATCATCTCCATTCAAATCTAATTTCATTCCATTAGCCATAACAACAACAAGATACATACTTACAAATATCTTCCTAACCACCACCACCTTTCTCCTTCCAATCATCCAACCTAACCTAACCTAACTATGCACCATCCATTTGTTCCAAGTACCACCATACTTACACATTGATCATCATCAATAATTGTTCCAAATTGTCCCATCATTCATCATTCATTCATTCATCCATTTGCCATTCGCCAATCCAATCCATCCATTTGCCATTCCTATTGCCATTCCTAATTCATATGCATCCTCAGTATCTTGTAAAAAAACCTAACCGTATTGATTGAATCCATCCAAATATTCACATTGTAAACCCTTATTTAAAGATGACAAGTTTGTTTATTTGTTTGTTTATTTGTTTGTTTGTTTGTTTGTTGTAAGTATGTATCCATTCATCCATCCAAATATATCCAACCATATCCATTGATTCTCCATAATCATCATCAACCAAAACACAATGAATGAATCTCCAATTTCTTCCATTGAATATCTACCATTGACAAATTTTGCCATCGAAAATTTCCTATTGACAAAACAAACACATTGAATGAATCTACCATCAAAAATCTACCATCGAAAATTTCCCATTGAAAAAACACACATTGAATGAATCTCAACCAAAAATGCCATTGCAAAACACACACATTCAAAAATTTTTCCAATTGAATGAATATCCAACCAAAAATCTCCATTGCAAAACACACACATTGCCAATTTACCATTGAAAATCCCCATTGAATGAATCTACCATCAAAAATCTACCATCGAAAATTTCCCATTGAAAACACACACATTGAATGAATCTCAACCAAAAATATCAACCAAAAATGCCATTGAAAAACACACACATTCAAAAATTTTTCCCATTGAAAAATCCCATTGAGAATGAATCCATCATCCATCCACCAATTCATCATCCATTTATTCTTCATCAACAAAATTCATCTCCTTCAACACCACCACCATCAAATAGCCCATTTCATCTAGTTTCTCATGGTACCAAAATTTCTTTCCAAAAAAATCCCATTCCAATCCAAATCAACCAAAAACTACTGTCCGGAAAGTTCTTTCCACTTCATCTATCTTTTGCCATGCTTCGCTATTTGCTGGCAGCCTATGAAAAATAGGCACCCCTAAACAAGAACGAACTTTTCGAACGACCTCAACAAAAATATTTTTCTCTAGTTTTTCAAATCAAATCTATTTAATAGATCATTTCTTCATTCATTCATCCAACTAATGATCATTGAATATTGATCCTAACATCAATATATCATCATCCATTGTATGAATCCATTCAATGATCAAAAAGCATATCACAATAATGACAAGTTCTCGGTTGTATTGTTCCAAATTGTCCCATCATTCACCATCCATCCATTTGCCATTCTTATTCATTCATTCCTATTCATTCCTATTCATCATCCAATTCATTCTACAAATAATCTACCTTCTTAAATATCCAATATCCATATCATAACATACCATTCACCATCCATTCACCATCCATTCACCATCCATTCACCATCCATTCACCATCCATTCATCATCAACTGCATATCAACCTAAACCATTTCCATTCAAATCTCCCATTGAATGAACCATCTCATAAAAAAATCACAAATTGAATGAATCTACCATTGATCCATTCCCATTGACAAAACACACACACACACACAATCCATCCCATTGAATGAATCTCAACCAAAAATCTTCCATTGATCCATTCCCATTGAATGAGATTCTCCATTGATCCATTACCATTGAGATTTCCATTATCATCAACTAAATTTCAACCCTATTTTCATTGAAAAATCCATTTGCCATTCCAATTGCCATTGATCATACATACATACACTACTCATCATCATC